ATATAGGCCCCCGAAAAAAACCTCGCCTACTCAGGGACTGAGGGCGCGTAGTGTGTGTTTCCCCCCAAAAAAATAGGGGGCGCTCACTCGCGCACAAATAACAAAAAAAAAAGATTAAGGTTTTCCACGCGGTGCTCTACATACCAAGCGCTATTCCTTTCCAAGATGGAGACAAGACCCCCAAAAAAAAGGCCCCAACGCCAAGTCCCCCGACACCTCCTCAAAGGACTGAAAGCGACCCAACTAACCTCCTGCTGATCCATGCCACTCCTGGGACCGCGCCCAGCCCCGGGATCTGGTACTGCCTAGCGCCGAGGATGCCCAGGGAGCCGCTCGCGCGCGTCGCCCACGCCTCGTCGAACCACACGTCGGTGAAGGTCGGGAAGCTGGCCAGGTTGGCGCCGTAGTACGGCCGCTCCACCACCCAGTCCGCGTCTACCCGTGCGAGGGTCGGCCCGCTGGCGATCTTCATGGTGTAGGTTTGGCCTTGGGAGAGGTTGGAGAGCGTGCTGTTGGTGGTGGGGAGGGGGGGGTTAGTGGTGGGTGTTATTGGGGGGTATGGGTGGGGGGTTTTAAGGGTGTAAACGTACATTTCAGCTGCTGTCGTCGACGTCGTCTCGATAGTAATCTCGATCCAGTCGTCTGCTGACACTGTGTTGTTGGGGTCAGTAATGATAGGGAGTGGTTTGATGGGTAAAGTATGGCGGCGTACCTGGCATAGTCGTGATTGTGTAGGCGGCAGAAGGAACCCATTGCCACCAAGCTTCGTTTCTGAAGAAGAAGTGTTAGTGGATGGTGCACTTCGGACTTTGTGAAATATTATGAGGCGTACCTGACGATACCGGTCGAGTTATCAATCTAAGGCTGCTAGTTAGCTTGACATCCAGGGACTTTTTTTTCAGACTTGAACATACCTTGCAGACCGTCCCTGCTTGCAACAGTGCAGACTTCCAGGAGTCTCCGTCGATCCCCACCCAGTTTGCGGCCGCCTGGGGGTACGTTGTCACGCCGGCCCTTTGGGTACATGTGGGGTGCTGGAACGTGCCGTGGATGACTTGGATCTGGTTGGTTGAAGGCGTTTTGTTGACAGAGCCGCACCAGTTGTTACTATTAGCGGTAGGGTTCGACCTCCGGATCCTTCGGTGGACTGGGGTCGGGCTGCTGCCACCCATGCGGGTACGGCCGAACTCGAAGGGCTCTAGCTTAATCTCGGATTGTGGGATGGGGACACCGTTCTTTGTGGCTTCCACCGTGAAGGTGAGCTCTGCCAGAGCCTGGTTGGCCACGAGGGCCGAGCCGAACAGTGCCGCAAGGGTCCACCGCATGGTGAGAGCTAGGAAGGATGAGGGTGGTTGTGTAATATCTGAGGTGCTATAAGTGAGCGGCTGAGCACTTTAAAGGTATTGGAAAGTAGGGATGAGGGGCGTGGGTTATGCAGTTTGAAATACTAAGTGGTAGGAATTACCTTTGGGCTAACCACTGGATCGGACGACCTCCATTTATCTAGTCTTCCGGCCATGAGATGTTCAGAGCTGTCTCCCCCATCCGCAGAAGCCGCGGCAGGGTTACTCAAGGGAGGCAGACCCGGCGGTGCACAACCTACCATTCCGTTTAGGACAGGAAACGTCCAATACTCACCGGTGAGGGCCACACCAGGACAGGAAGAGTTCGGAGATATCAGGGAAAGTGTGCCGCACCCTAGGCTAACCTTTCCCCATTCAGACCTATTGTCCTCGGCCTCGCCCAAGAGGGGAGAACTGATGTTGTGCTCCCCCACATCACACGAGCGCACTTGTGCCCTACTGGATCTTTTGATGTGATATGGGAAACGCGAGCTCGAGGCGCGGGCTTGTCGTTGAGTCAACACGAGTGAGTAAGAAGAAAGCGAGGGGTGGTCAGAGTAAGGGAAGGAGAGGCTGCGGTTGGCGCGTGCCACTTGCACCGCCATGATACCTCGAGCGGCCCAGGGGCGGGCTTGGACAACCCATGATCTTTTGTGGCTTTGAATCCATTGGAACCCGCTGTCACCGGACGTCTCGGGGGAACAAGTGTGGGAGGCAAGCCCACCATTGACATGAATGACATGACGTAGTATGAACTTTCTACGGCAAAAACAGCTCAATTTTAGCCCTTCCTCCCTCCCTCCCTTCCCCACAAAATTTCTAGGAGTGTTCTATTCCTTCGTTCCTGCTTCCATCCCACGGCGCTTGACGCAGGCACCGAGTCTGATGTGGTAGCGGGACGCGCCAAGATGCGAGCTGTGCCGTAACGTTCCTGTCAGCCGGACCATCTGATGCACATTATCAACAAGACTATGACACACGGGAACACAAAGGCCAAAGTATTCAATGCCAAGGCGGCGCGTACGGCGGTCGGGCGGTAGCTCTACACTATTCCCATATGGGCGATGCTCATACCGAGGCGAGCATACCGGGGGCGGCAAAGCTCGTAATACTAGACGTGCTCCGGCACTGGCGTAGCAGTGCAAGGAAGTCCAAGGAAGTCCAAGTGGTGCTGAGGATTCGGTTACTACACGACAGCGTGGGCCCGTGGGGTGTGACAGGGCTGACGGCGATGCCGGCCCCATTAGCCGCCCCCATCCCACCTTTCCCGTAAACTATTGACGGCGTGCGTTGTGACTGCCAAGTTTCGACGGCGCCAAGGGCGTTGTGCGGGGTCATCCGGCGTCAAGAAACGGCAATGGTGGTGTTCGATACAGGATTATGTTCGACTGTGGCACCCGCTTTCGGTGTGGGGAAGTGGTGGCCCTAGGTAGCTCGTGGGAGGGCAGGGAGGCAGTGGGAGCTTGTAAAGGAAGTTGGTAAAATCAGCCCGGCATATGTCCATTCCGCATGGGGGGAAGCTCCAGCCATGGTGGGGAAGCCGCTGGGGATTCTGCCTCGTCAGCCGATTTCAGGGTGCATTGCAGCTCTAGCAGACGGGCTGTGTCCATCAGCTGCGAGCTGCAAGGGCCCGGGATGCAACTTAACTCAGCTTCAGCTGCAGGGAACCCAATCGAGTTTCGGCCCTTCAGCGGAACCTCCCACGGAGTCACATCTTTCCGGTTAGCCCGACGTTGTAGTCGACGCCGCAAGGGACGTTTGAGAATCAATGAATATGATGGTTTGGGATGAGGCACTTGTGCTGCTAGGCAGCCACTGTGAGTCTCTTGCTTGCATGTGAAATCGAAGCTCCTTGTCACGGCCGACCAGAGTTCATCAATGCATTTGACAAAGTGGAGGGTATAGGTAGAGAAACCAAAAGGCTAAGAGAGAAATAATTTTGATTATCTCTACTTGCATGTAGTACTAGGTCCATAGGTTGGTCATCATCAACTTAGTAGAATAATGCGGGGGTGGTTCATGTGTTGGGCTCAAACATGTATTTATGCATGCACTAGCGAGGAGCTCGGTACATGTAGAGATAATAGATAACAAGGCTTATCGGCTCCTAGTCATCCCCGTTATGGCGAGATAATTCAAAGTAAAGGGTTTTAGGACACTATTCGAGTCATGACTCAAGCTGCGTAAACATCACACCCTGTGGCCATCCCCCTGACTCCTCGCCGCGCTCATCTCCACCTCCTCAACAACCCCCATATCATCCAGCTTACCACTCCGTCTCTCCCTCTCGTCCTCAATATCCGCCTCCCGGTTGCCATATCTCCCAATCTTGTACCACGGCAAGCTGAACAAACGATCCATGCTCTCTAGGCTCCTCCCGGCCGTCTCCGGCATGATGAACCACACCCACAATCCGCCGAGCATCGTCACCGCGGCGAAGAACCAAAATGTCCCCTGAGGCGAGATGCCACCATCGGCAACGGGCAACAACATGTTTGGCACGGCCCTCGAGTTGCCGTACTGGTTCGCAAAGTGGAACGTCATGGCCAGCGACGTGCAAAAAGCACGGATCCGTAGTGGGAACAGCTCTGCTGTCATGAGGTATTGCACTGGAAGGAAAAAGAAAGCGGTTAGTGCAGTTCATACGAGCTAATCCAGACCCATCACGGCGGGCCGAAGAGGTTACCACTTACTGCTATTCCACCCCAGAGCCCACCCAAAGCCCGACAGATAAATCATAGCCACCGCACCCCGCGAAGCCGCCAGCTCCGACCCGACCAGCTTCACGCGTCGTCTTATGATACTCAGCTGGGGCATGGCGGTGAGGAAGCCGGCCACGTAGATCATGGAGATGGCCTGGAAGGCGATGCCGAGCAGGAGCGAGCGCTTGCGGCCGACGACGTCCACGAGGAAGAGGGCGCAGATGACGGCGGCGACGAGCTTGACGAGGCCGAACACGGCCGTCACCAGCAGGTTGGTGTTGGTGTCGGCGATGCCCAGCAGGTGGAACAGGTCCGGCGCGTACAGCGTGATCGAGCCCGCCCCGGACCACTGCGACAGGATCTGCGCCGCGATGGTGAGCGACACGCGGTAGAAGTTGCTCGGGTCCAGGAAGGCCTCGCGCAGGATCCCGAGCCAGCCTGTGTTCTTGGTGGCTTCCGTCTCCTCGCGGTGCGCGGCGGTGATGGCGCTGATTTCGGCGACGACGTAGTCGTGCTGTGGGGGGAGGTTGCGTAGGCGCGCCATGGTCGTGAGCGCTTTGTCGTGCTGGTCTTTCATGACGAGGTAGCGGGGCGACTCGGACTGGAAGAGGGTGAGGATGCAGATGAGACCCGAGAACATGATGTGAAGGCTGGTGGGTACGAGCCACCGCACGGCGGTGGTGTCGCCCAGGTTGATCTGGCACCCGTAGTTGGTGAAGTAGGCAAGGACGATGCCCAGGTAGACGAAGCCGGTGAAGAGACAAGTGCAGAGACCGCGGATACTCGCAGGGGTAATCTCTGCGATGTAGACGGGCCCTACAACGGGCGTCTGGCCCACGCCGAGACCTGCGATGAACCTGCCTGCATAGATGGCACCGAGATTTCCGTTGGACCCCATGAAGATGGCGATGCCCACAATCCACAGGAGACATAGTTGGCGAGTGGCCCATATTCTGCCGATTTTGTCACAAACGAGAAACGCACTATCGCCAGGGTCAGTTTATCATGGTTTCAAAAATGTAGAAGAGGTGGTGTTGAGGTGACTGACATCAGAGCACCCCCAACCGAGCCGATCTGGACCATAGCCGAGACATTTGCCTTGATGTTTGCCTGTTCAACCTTGCTGTATGAGTCGTAGTGGATGGTCTGCTGGAAGTGTTTGCTGTTGAAGGCTCCGCTGATGAGGCCCTCGTCGACACCACGGGCGGCGCCGAGAAGGGAGAAGGAGAGAACCGCAAACCAGAGCTTCCAATTGAAAACCTCTTTGGGTACGTCCAAGTTCTTCAATTTGAAGACGTTTACGGGTTTCTTCACCCCGCCAGCCATCGTGTCGGTTTGTGGGGAGGCGGTCAGCGAACGGCGGTGTGTGGAGAGAAACAAGTGCTGGTGATCAGCTGGGAGTCGTGGAGAGGCGTGCCGTGATAGCTTTATCAACTTCCCAGAAGTGGCAGCCTCAAATAGAATAATTCTTTCAAGTCTCAGACCCGGTATCTACCGTACCTGACATGGCACCACCGTCGAGTGCCGTGAGGACTGCCGTGAAGGAATAGCTCCGATGCAAGGCTGCCCAGGACTAGGGTGTCGGGGGTAGACGGCTCACCAAGAATCCATCTAGAAAGGCTTGGAAATTCCACGATATGGAGGACATCTCCTCAATTGGTGACCGGTTACGTTATTGTGCCAGGTGAGCCCCTCGTGGCAACACAGCATCTCCAGCTCCAGCGTTGTAACACATCCCGCACATCACCGCCGCTTTGGGAAGGTGGTTCGGGAGATGAGACCTATGTTGTCAGGTGGCAGCAAACACTACATGTTTCCCATGGGGAAGCGGTGACACTGGTGGATGATTCAAGATGGGCACGAGGAATAACCGGACTCGGACCGACAAAGGTCGGGGCCCTGCCTTGCCTGCCAGCCTGCCTCCCCACCTCCGCAAACCTGGAGAAACCCGCTTCAAGTCGCGTGTTGCTCCATCGTGGACCCATGGGTGGTGCCAATCGGAAACATTAAAGAGGAAGGCAATCATCCAATAATGGGTGTTTCTGCCCGCCGGGATGAAAAGGGCCAAGTGATGAAACGTGAAGGATGGATGAGGAAATAAAATCCGACAGGAGGTCGGCGGGTTTTGAAGACAGGAAAAAGTCGGGTAGAACCGTCGAAAAGCACGAGGGGCGTGAGAGCCGGCCAAAAAAAAAAAAAAGGAAAAAAGAAAGAAACAATAGAAATTGAAGAAATTAGTGGCAGAATTGAAGAAGGGGAAGGGTTCCTCTATAATTAAAGAATGGCTCCGAAGAGCCGCGATCGGATTTCGGCAACCGGGGGAGTGATCGTGGGGTGGTTTGAAGAAGCTTTTGCCAATGAAAGCTAAGAAATTTGAAAGCCGGCTGGGCTGCCGGAAGGATGCCACACGGAAAAGAGTCACCAAGACCCTAACCCCCATCACCCTGCTAACCTTTCCTCAACTCTGTGTTACAACGGAACCTTTCCCATCAACGAGGACTCAACAGTTTCAGCATCTGGACATCCGTGATCTTCAAAATGGCACAAGAGGAAACCAAAATCACCGTAAAGCACACCGCTGCTGAGGAATTCGTGGTTGCCCTCCTCGAGGCAGCCGGAGTGTCCCAGAAGAACGCCAAGATCGTCGCTCAAGGACTCGTGCAGGCAGACCTGCGCGGAGTTGAGAGCCATGGTATCAACCGCATCCCATCCTATCTGGCGCGGATCCGAAACGGAGTGCTAGATCCCAAGGCTGAGCCGGCGCTCACGCAGGTAACACCTGTAGTTGCTCAGGTAACTCCCACTCGTCTCCCTTACGAACATCTCTTCGCTTCGCAGATGACTCAGACGATAACCTCTGTTAGGTCGATGGTAACAATGGCTTCGGCTTCCCGGCCGCACACCTGGCCATGGATACAGCTATCACCATGGCTCAGACCTTCGGCATCGGCATGGTGAGCGTCAAGCACAGCAACCACTTTGGCATGTCGGCTTGGATTGTTCGCCAAGCCGCCGATGCCGGCATGATGAGCCTCGTGTTTACCAACTCGTCTCCTGCCCTGCCCGTCTGGGGTGGCAAGTCCCAGTTGATGGGTGTTTCTCCCATCGCCTGCGGAGCCCCCGGTGGCGAGACCTCACTCCCCTTTATCTTGGACATGGCACCCTCGGTCGCTGCCCGGGGGAAGATCTACAAGGCTCTTCGACGGGGCGAGAAGATCCCGCAGGACTGGGCGTTGGATGAGGACGGGAAACCGACGGACGATCCCGCTAAAGCGCTGAAGGGGGTGATGCTGCCGATGGGCGGCCCGAAGGGCTCGGCGTTGGCCATTATGATGGACGTGTTCTCCGGTGTCTTGTCTGGGTCTGCGTTTGCAGGAGGCGTTACCGGGCCATACGACATGTCAAAGCCAGGCGACGTTGGCCACTTCATTGTTGCCATAAAGCCGGACCTTTTTGTGAGCCTTGACGAATTTAGGCAGCGGATGGATACGCTGTACCAGCGCGTCACCGGCTCTGATAAGATGGAAGGGGTGGACAGGATATACTTTCCTGGGGAGATTGAGCAGTTGACCGAGAGGAACAGGCTTGAAGAAGGCATCCCTTTTGTTCAAGCTGAGATTGATGCCCTGAATACAGAGGCGGAGAAACTATGCGTCCCGAAACTTCAGTAGACATTTAGAGTGTTGGGTCACTAGGTAGATAAAGAAATGGGTGATGAAGACTACCGTTAGGACCCACCAAAACCCATGCCGGCCAGACGACGGTGCGGGCCCGATCCAAAGCAGGTTCTTGCGAAATGGTGAATTGACCTGAGATTAACCTGATATTAGTACACCAAACCAAGTATGAAGATTGATATCGTTTGTGACGATCCCTGTTCTGAAGACTGGGAAGAGAAGGCCGGGAAAAATCGAAGACATCGGTGATGCTGAAAGTCGAATGTGGGGTTGTGGTTCGTGCCCCGGTTTTCTGCTTGGCACCTCAGCTCCTTGAGGGAAGCTCGGCCCCACTCAACTGCATCCTAAAAAACCACCCCAACGCTCACCAGCGAAGGTCATCTCATGGCAGCGAGTCGAAAGTCGCGGGCAACGGGCCCGCCGGCGCCATCCACCACCCTAGTTCTCGACAATGGCGCCAACACTATCAAAGCCGGGTTTGTGACTGGCGACAAAACGGACGGGCCGCGCATTATCCCAAATTGCCTGGCGCGAGACCGCCATCGGAAAACGTATGTCGGATCCGAGCTGGAGAAATGCAGAGACTTTGGCGAGATAGCCTTCCGCCGTCCGGTTGAGAAGGGCTTTGTGGTGAGCTGGGAGGCGCAAAAGGAGATATGGGATCGCGAATTCTTCGACGATAAGGCGCCCCAACGATGTGACCCTTCCGAGACCCGCCTCGTGCTCACCGAGCAACCGAACGCGCTTCCGGCCCTGCAGACACATTGCGACCAAATGGTGTTTGAGGAATTTGGTTTTGCTAGTTACTTCCGTGGCATTGGTCCGTCCTTCTTCCACCTTTTGCCCACTTGGGCCGTCACTGACCTTGCACCATATCCCCAGGCCCGGCCTTCAACGCATACCAGGACCTCCAAGCCATCTTCCACACCCCGAGGACACCAGACACTCCAGTTGACATCCCAGCCGAGGTCATACTCGTGATTGACTCCGGATATTCCCACACCACCGTGACGCCAATGGTGCAAGGCAGGCCACTACACCAGGCCATCCGGAGGTTAGACGTTGGGGGCCGGTTGATGACCAACTACCTCACGCGCCTACTGTCGGTCCGACACTTCGACATGCGAAATGAGACATTTATTGCGAATGAAATGAGGGAATCTGTCTGTTATGTCTCGTTAGATTTCAAGGGCGACCTCGAAAAGACGTGGAAAGGGACGCGCGGCGAACGGCGAGACAATTATCTGAGTGGCGCCGGGATCGCAAGGGATTACGTTCTTCCAGATTCACACACAACGTTCCATGGTGTGGTTCGAGATTACGAACCGGGCGTTTCCGCTCGTGCTCACAAGGCGGCGTTGTCGACCGAGGATATCCTTACACTGCGCAACGAGCGCTTCGTGGTCCCAGAACTACTGTTTAACCCCTCTGATATCGGCCTGCGCCAACCCGGGCTCGCAGACTTAGTCATGCAATCGTTGTCGGTGTTGCCCATCGGCTTGTGGCCGGGGCTGCTCGCAAACATTGTGGTCGTGGGAGGCAACGCCAAGTTGGATAACTTTATCCAACGGTTGCAAATGGAATTGTTGGAACGCGTGCCGGACGAGTGCGTTGTGCGGGTGGCCCGCCCCGAGGATCCTATTATCAGTACCTGGGTAGGAGCCGCCAATTTCGCCCGGCACGAGCATGTCGAGCGATTGGCAGTGACGAAGCAAGAATACGAAGAACACGGAGCCGGGTGGGTTGCCCGAAAGTTCGCTGCCGGCCTTCCGGTTGAGCCTTGATTGGTTTGACAGAACACAGAATGAGCAGCGTAGCACACCCGATACCATCAACCCGGCGTCCCAACCAGTGGTGCGTTCTTTGGGTTGGCAGAGGCAGTAAAAGCTGCTGGTCCTTCCTCTCTCAGCAAAGGCACTCCGCCGACTAATGCCATGTCTAGTGGAGGAAGACTATCCGGCTGGCGACATTGATGGGGATTCACGAGGTCCTTGCTCTCTAGGTCAGGCGCGCTGCCAGCTGGGGACCATTTGTTCAGGGCGCCCAGACGCGATTGTCTAGTTGATGATTCTTAGTCGCCAAGCATTTGCTAACATAGCCACGTTTTACCCGGTTTCTGTTGGCGGTCGATACGCCTGGCGATTGTCGGACAAAGAAATGATGTCTACGTAGTAGCTGGGTCCATCCATGTTGTTGGGACAAGCGAGTCTTCAAATCGTGACTTTACCACGGAACCAAGTCCGCGAGACCCTTGCGAATGCGGATTTACCTGTAGCCGCACAGTTTCAGTGTGAATCTGAAAGCTAAACTTCGTCCCTAGGTAGATTATGAGCTTTATGATAATCACATGATTGTTCACGAGTCCATACAGATGTACTGACACGCCTTGAGGTACTGAATTGTGAACGCGTGGAAACGCGGGGCCAAGAGAACACGCTATACCCGATTTCGCTTAGCGTCATGCTTTCCCAAAGCATGAGCGACCACAAAAAAATATCCCCGTACTTGTCTGCGCTCGTACGTTTTTGATCTCCTCCACCAGCGTCGCAACACCATCTCGAAAAGCATGCTTCACCAGAGATAAAACTGTCCAAAATGCCACATAACTCCCGATACCGGTCGAATGGGAAGAACCATCTCCCGCCACGCGAATATCGCAACGACCACGACTCGAGGAATCGGAATGGTCCGCCCCCCCGGGACGCCTATCGGGCGCCTTCGTATTCCAGCCGGTATGAGCACAATCCCGGCGAACGGTGGCCCCGCGATGGCCTACCTCCTCCATCCGCGAATTATCGTGGCCCGCCTGCTGGGGACAATTACCGGCTGCCGCAAAGCGACTTTACTTTTCAGGTCGACAAGCCTGCCGGTGTCCAAAATGCCGACACGTATCGGCCGCAAGGCAACAGTAAACATCACAATGACCGACATGAACCTCATTCTCCCGATCGCGACGACCGGCCTTTAAAAAGAACCCGGCGCTCGAACAACCGCTCCTCCAGGAACGACAGCAGCGCCCGGCCGGTTCAGAACAATAAACATGGCCGGAACTTCGGTAATCGGCCGTGGCGACCTTTCGTCCCCGCAGAGCGCGAGTTATTGAAGACTGACCACGACAACAACAACAACACAGAGGTTGCTTTCTACAACACATCAGGCGGTGTAACTTATCGACCCCTTAATGAGCTCTCCGATAGCGACGAGGCTGAGATGGATATCTCGGGAGATGAAGAGGCGGGATCGACTGAAGAACCGACGGGCAAGCGCGCTCGTTCAGCCATCGAACAATCGACCTCAGACAACAATGTGCCAAAATGGTCCAATCCTGACCCTTACACGGCCCTGCCTCCCGAGACTGCAACGCAAGGGAAGAAGAAAGACGTTGTGCGAATGATTCGCAAGTCTCGGGTCCAGGAGAATGAAGTTAGGAGTTCGTTGCCTTCAGGGGAGGCCGACTTTATTTCCTTCGACTCTGACAGCGACGCGACTGACGAGCATGAGGACGACCAGGGACAGGAATCCGCGGTGAGGGCGGTTTCACCCGTTGCTCGTATCGTACCTGTCTCGGAACTAAACCTCCAGTTACCTCCGAGACCCCCAAAGCCTGGAAAGGGCCCGGCGCTTTTGCCTGACCCCACGCCCTCTGCTCTGGGAAGTCGAAAACGGACTCATGACGATGAGATCAAGATGCCACACACGAGGCTTAAGAAGGCAACCAAGGCTCCGCCAGGGGGAGGGATCACGAAAGAATGGGTCCCGGATCCCGAGTTAGATTCTACTCCATGGATGGAAGTAGACCACTCGAGGTCCGCCAACATGGCTGTCTGGTAAGGAGAACTCCGGCGTCCGTTCCTCTGATACTGGCTAACTCATCTACCATCAGGCTACACAAGGAAGTGGTCGACTTCTACGAGTACATCAAACCCAGAGACTTCGAGGAGCGCCTGCGCGGCGAACTGGTCCGGGATCTGAAGCAGTTCTGCCGTAAAGTGTTTCGGGACGCTGAAATGTATCCCTTTGGCTCCTTTCCCTCGGGTCTCTACTTACCCACAGGCGATATGGATATGGCTTTCATGTCTGACGGGTACATGAAGGGCGGTGTTCCCAAGTACTCCACCAAGAACACTCTTTATCGGCTCCGGGGACAACTGATGAACCACAAGGTGGCCTGGGAGGATGAAATTGAGGTCATCCCTAGTGCCAAGGTGCCTCTGGTCAAGTTCATTGAACACAAGACCGGCCTCAAAGTTGACGTTTCTTTCGAGAACAACTCGGGCGTGACGGCTATTGCCACATTCAAGGCATGGAGGGACCGGTACCCGGGCATGCCGGCGTTAGTCACGTTGGTCAAGCATTTTCTACTAATGCGCGGCCTAAATGAGCCCGTCAACGGAGGTATCGGGGGATTCTCAGTCATCTGCTTGGTAGTGAGTATGCTGCAAATGATGCCTGAAGTGCAGAGCGGCAACCTAGATACGAGACATCATCTCGGCCAGCTTCTTCTTCACTTTTTCGACCTCTACGGCAATAAGTTCAACTACCAGACCGTCGCCATCAGTTTGAATCCCCCGCATTGGATTCCAAAGGTCAGTGGCCACTCAAGAAGGCTAGTTATCCGTGTTCACAAAGCTAACCGTAACTCTTCGCAAATTGTAGCACCAAGTGACGGAGTTCGCTTACAAGAACCACAACCGGCTCTCCATCATTGACCCGAACAACCCGGCAAACGACATCTCTGGAGGCTCCAGCAATACAAACAAGATCCTGGCTCACTTTGCGAACGCACACCAGGAACTCACCAAGCGCATGGCACAACTATCGCAAGACCCGAATAGGGCTGGGCAGAGCATCCTAAAGGTAATTATCGGCGGGAACTACTCTAGCTTCGAAAATCAGCGCAACTACCTTGAGCTACTAGCCAAGCAGGGCTACCGGCCGGCAATGGGGCAAGGCAACCGGTCGTCGGACCGGAACCGTGACCAGGGCCACTGGCCGGCGAGGAACCAGGCTGCACCGCAGCGACCCCCTCAAGGCAGGAGCGATGGCAACCGTAGGAGGAGGTGAAGGGTATCTGCCCTCGACCTCGAACCGGATGTGTCACACACCGCACCACGAATTTACGAGCTCTTCGACGAACGGCATACGGGCTATGGGCGGCATTTTCTTTCTCCGCAGCGAACTTGAAGGGTTGCGCGCAGTCCGGCGACAATCCCATGGACGGATTTGGGATGGCGACACGGAGTTGAAGGAGTGGATGCATCATGCATCGCGATACCATATCCCTTTTCCATGTCTTGTCATTTTTTTCTTAAATTCTTCCTTCCATTGAGGGTTATCACTCGATCCGAGGGCGTGACGACAGCCCGGGATCTTGTTATCCAGTCGCCCCTTTTCTTATTCGGAGGGGCATACTTACTCAGTCTTGTACTTTTAGAGCGACGGCGGTCAGCCCGGCGCTCTCATGTCGAAGTTGCCGCCGTCGGCAACCGCAGCAGCGTTCCCAGGCCTCTCCTGTTCGTTGCATGGGCCGAGTTGGCTGCATAATCGACCGTTCTTCCGTTCCCTTATCCCTCTATTTTGTGAACTAATAATGGCAGGGGCATTCCGAGTCTTGCGAAGACGCAGACTCGGACTTTCCGGTCACCATGCCGGGTAACTAACTTTCGAACAGATCGGGATGGCGAAACTACGCACGCTCATGTCGTCGACAGAGGCAGACTCGAGGCTCAAGTTCCCCCAGATCCGGGGAACTCGCCGGTGATGCGGACTCGTGGATACATCTGTCGACGTCGAGCATAGTAGCGACACCCTCCCACACCCCCATCCTTTTCTCACTGCATGCCGGGCTTTTTGTTCGGCTGCGGAGAGAATTGGCCTGGTTACAGTTCCTGGCTATCCTGGCACATGCCTGGATGCCAGTGATCTCGGTGATGGGAGTTCGATGGCTCCATGGTTGTGGAGAAGGGCCGGGGGTCTCTGGGGATTATCAGGGGAGCAATAACATGCTTGTTCCCAAAGTAACGCCAACATGCGGCCCATCCAGCCATGTCGGCGGCGAGGGATCGACCTCGGAAGGGGGAAAAACAAAAAAAGGGTTCCTCAACAGGGGCCTTATTCCAGAAGCAGCAGAGACAGCCGTTGTGGGCCGAGATGGACGTCCGCGCCTTGGCGGGGCCCCGCAGGGATGAGCTTAAGAGCGCCGACCCTCCCCCGCCTTGGCTGCGGGGAAGTGCCGGCGATCGATGACTGGCCCTTGACGGCGCTGCCTCGGCCGCACTTTGGCCGGATTCGCGTCAGCTGCTGCGCAATGCCGTTGCCATGCTGCCATGCTGCCATGCCATTTGGTGCTTCTCCTCGATGGCAACCCACGCAGCTCAAGCTTGGTCAATACGACCTCGCATGAGGGACTCGAGCTCGGGCGGGCAAGCACCGGGCGGAATTAACCCGAAGCATGTTGTGTGCTGCTTGGAGTCACAACACATGCTTTTGTCTCGGCTACGGTGAATGCTCCCGCGACACGGTCGGAGATGAACAAGCAACGGAATTGCAGCCCGCCGTGTTGGTTCGGGAGGGGGTATTCCCGTCGGTGTGATTCGTTTCACGGCAAGGCTGCTTTCGGGGCCGACGAACTGGCAGAATCCCGATTGTTCATGTCGAGGACAGGAGGACTCGACAATCACGGCTGTCTGCATGGTTATTGTGAGGGGTCTCACCCCTGCTCGGCCGGGGCACGAGGAGGAACAACTTCCGCAACAAGCTGGTTCTCCCGTTCTCACCCCACGGGGAGCCGTTGGATCGCCCCGGAGATTGGTAAAGCAAAGCCCAATGACGTCCCATGTGGCTCGTCTTGGTCGTCTTCCGAGCAAAAATAAAGAAAAGAAAACGCCACCGATCTCGCGCCTTCCTAGAACGGACTTGGCAGGCAGGAGGTGCAATAAGGTTGGTTGTGTGGTTGCGTGCCAAGTCTCGGGCAGCCAAGGCGGAGGGGAAAATGATGGGGATGGAGTCAGAAGGAAGAAAAAAAATAAAATAGTTAACACAAGAAAAAACTGTTAAAAAGGAAACCAGAGCCGAGATGCCAATACATCGTCTCAGTCTGTTTGACATGACTTGCATTGCAGACCGTGTTTCAAAACAGTCGAGGGGAGAGAGTCTTCTGGAATTAGATGTATGTCTGAGTGCCATTTCCCATTTCCCATTCCCCAACTTTGACGCATCAATCACAATCACCCCCAGACCGAGTATGCGCTCGAGGGAGGCCGTGGCAACCCGACAAACTTCCCAAGGCTTTTCTGGTTCGCAACGCTCCCTTCTTCAAAGCCCGAAGGAATCGGCCCGTGATTAGCTCAACCCGATGCCCCGGAACTCTGCCTGCTGTCAAACGGTCAAGCTCCAATGAACGGTCTCGGTCAAAGTATACTTTTACATACTGTGTCAAACTCACCAACCAGGATGGTCGGCGTGGAAATGTTCCGTTGCTGCACAGTACAGCTATGGTTACTTCCCATGCGAGCCATGCGAGCCATGTCTCCCATGCAACCATCGAGCTGGCGCCAGGCTGGGTAGTGTGACCTTCGGTCGTGCAACCCCACCATGGGCTGGTTCTCTTAGTTGGGAAATGATGGCCAGTAAACCTTGCCTTTCCCGAATCCTACTCGCCAGCGCCGTATCGCGGTTGCTCTGGCTCTTCTGGGAGCTGGAACCCTTGCTGCAGGTTTGGCGTAAATGGAGGAACTTTGGAGGGTCGGATCTGTGAATGAATGGCTTATATATGGCCCTGTTGCATTCCCATGTTCTGATCCCTTAGTTTGTCAAGCGCCTTGCCCCTATTTTCACCAATCCACCGGCCTCACGCTCTTCTCTTCCAGAGATAGCTTTCTTCATCATCTTGTTTTGCCGAGGGCCCTTGTGTTGCCCTCTGGCTCCTTAGTGACAACTCACCTGCTCACCTTAGTACTGTGAAACGACCCTTCAGGGGAACATCTCGTCACCATGTATGAAGCCAGCAATGTCTATTTTATTTGCGGCTTTGCCGCCATTGGTAAGTCACAAACCAAACCATGAAGCAGCAGAACTACACCACAGGTTTCATGATGATACATCCATACCGTGTAACCCTCTCCCGTCGAAAATCAGACACTCATATCTTTGGTACTCGGTAGGCGGTGGTCTCTTCGGTTTCGACATCAGCTCCATGTCGGGCGTCCTCGGTACGCAAGCATACAAACGCTACTTCAACAACCCAGTCTCGTATGCCCAGGGCGGTATCACGGCTTCGATGCCGGCGGGCAGTCTAGTCGGCTCGTTGGCGTCGTCCTTCATCGCCGACAAGTACTCGCGTAAAGTCGCATTGCAGTTCTCGTGTAGTTCTCTGGATCATCGGCTCCATCCTCATGACCGCGGCCCAGAACATCGCGATGCTCTGTGTGGGAAGAGTCATTTGCGGGCTGTGCGTCGGTATTGCATCGTCGATCGTGCCCGTCTACCAATCCGAGATTGCGCCCAAGGAGATTCGAGGAAGAGTGGTCTCTCTGCAGCAATGGGCCATCACATGGGGAATTCTAATGTATGTGCTATATCCCCATTTCCCTTTTTTCCAGCCAAGAGTATTCGTGCAAGAACTAACCTCTTCCTTGCCTACAGCCAGTACTTTATTCAATTCGGTGCTGCCGAGGGCACTGGCGGTGGATCGAAAGACCCCAACCAGCCGACTGCTGCCTTCCGCATTCCGTGGGGTGTCCAAATGGTTCCCGCCTTCATCCTCTTGGTCGGCCTGTTCTTCTTCCCCTACAGCCCTCGCTGGCTTGCTTCCAAGGACCGCATGGACGAAGCCCTCCGAGTGCTTGCGCGCCTCCACGGCAAAGGCGATGTCAACCACCCCAAGGTTCTCGCTCAGTACCAGGAAATCGAGGAGGCGTTACAGCTCGAGAGGGAGCAGGCGACTTCGTCCTTCCGCGACCTCGTTGCTCCAAGGATGTACAAGCGTGTGCTCCTGGGCATGAGCATCCAGATGTGAGTCCGAACGAACAATAACTTCCTCCTCGGGAGTGGATACTAAAATCAAATCTCAACAGGTGGTCTCAACTATGTGGAATGAACATCATGATGTAAGCCAACTACCATGTCACCTCCCGAATCTTGGTCACTGACCGTTGCAGGTACTACATCGTCTACATTATGGAGGGCGCCCAAATTGCCTCCCCGCTCGCCACCGCATCCATCCAGTACGTGATCAACGTCGTGTTGACACTACCCGCCATCGTCTTCCTCGACAAATGGGGCCGCCGTCCCTCTCTCATCCTCGGTTCCTTCGGCATGATGACCTGGCTCTTCATCTCCGGTACGTTTTTAACCCCCTCACCCCACCCCCCCTTTTCCACCCCCCATCCCCCCTTTTCCACCCCCCATCCCCCCTTTTCCACCCCCCATCCCC